CGACGGCCATCGCGCACCCCCTCCCGGTGCCCCTCCGACGAGGCAGCGCGCGCACGCGCCTCAGCACCTCGTTTGCCGCTCCCCTCCTCGGTGCCCCTCCTCCTCCTCCTCCTCCTCCTCCTCCTCCTCCTCCTCCTCCTCCTCCACCTCCCCCTTCTCCTCCTCCTCCTCCTCCTCCTCCTCCTCCTCCTCCTCCTCTCCTCCTCCTCCTCCTCTTCCTCCTCCTCCGCTTCCTCCTCCGCCTCCTCCTCCTCCTCCTCCTCCTCCTCCTCCGCCTCCCCCTCCCCTCCCCCTCCCCCTCCCCTCCCCCTCCTCCTCCTCCGCCTCCTCCTCCTCCTCCTCCTCCTCCTCCTCCTCCTCCTCCTCCTCCTCCTCCTCCTCCTCCTCCTCCTCCTCCTCCTCCCTCCTCCTCCTCCTCCTCCTCCTCCTCTCCTCCTCCTCCTCCTCCTCCTACTCCTCCCTCCTCCCTCCTCCTCCTCCTCCTCCTCCTCCTCCTCCTCCTCCTCCTCCTCCTCCTCCTCCTCCTCCCCTCCTCCTCCTCCTCCTCCTCCTCCTCCTCCTCCTCCTCCTCCTCCTCCTCTCCTCTCTTCGATCATGCTGGTTTCGTTCTCCCTACCTCCTGGCTCCGCCGTCTGCGCGGCCGTCCCCCAAAGGGCCCCCCTCTCCCCCCCATCGCTCTTCTCCGCCCATCGCCGCTTGCACTGCCGCCAACCGCACTGCCGCCTGCTGTCCGTTACATGCGGAGGAGGAGGAGGAGGAGGAGGAGGAGGAGGAGGAGGAGGAGGAGGAGGAGGAGGAGGAGGTCCTTCAGGATTGGACTCTGGGGTGGGGTGACGCCCGCTCAGGGCCCTCCCGCCGAGCCGTCTCTCCCGTGCTCCTGAAGAGCTGCCTGCGCAGCCGCGGTGACGGGCCCGTCCCCATGACGCCCTTGGAACCCAAGAGGTCAAAGAGCGGACCCACTGCATGGGCGTGGGGTCCCCTCTGGCCTGTCTACGGGGCCACATGTGAACCCTACCCCTACCCCCCACGATTTCTGAGGGGGGAGGGTGGGGTTCACTTCGCTCGGGAGCTCCCGAGCGAAGTGAACCCCACCCTCCACCTCAGAAATCGTGGGGGGTAGGGGTAGGGTTCGCATGTGGCCCCCTAGTGTCTGTCAACGCCCCTCCGCGTCAACCTGTCACCCTCTCTAGCAGCTTCGGCCGCCCGTGTCCGCCGACAGGGCGGACAGCATGCCTGCCACCACGCCCAGGCCCAGAGCACCGAGGCCAACGGAGGCTTCGGAGCAGCGGCGTGCGCCGCCATCTGCGCCCTTCTTGTCGCGCTCTGCCTGAAGCCGCTGCCCAGTCACGACCCGTGGATCGCCGATCCCACCTCTCCCCCTCTCGCACTTTACCCTCGTTCCCTCTTTCTCCTCGCCCCGCGCACCGAGCGGCCTCCCACCTGCCCCGCCCGTGCAGAGGCGCGCACGTCGGCCGCCGACGCAGGCAGCTACCGCAGCGAACCTTTGCTGCGGTCGACCTCCTCTGCAGCACGGTCCCACCACCCTGACGGGAGCCCAGGATCGAATCGATAAGTCGGACCTGCGATCGAAACGAATCGGATCGGCCGAAATCGGCAGCCCGGTCGGGAAACGTCGAATCGGCGGAATTCGGCGGGCTGGTAGGCCCCCGTTGAGAAATCGGATCCCGACTCGGAATCCCAAGCCGAATCGAGTCGGAATCGGAGGCCATCGACATCTAATCGGATCGACATCGGAGGCACCGAAACGAGCCCTGGAACGGTCCAAACCGCCCTGCAGCTGCGCCCGCAACGCCGCCGCGGTCGTGCCGCCGGGCACCACGCGAGGGCAGCGGCCTGCGAGCCCGCCGGCCCGCCCGAGGGGCGCGAAGACAACGCTCGGCCCTGCGGATCCATGGCTGCGCGAAGCTTGAAGAGGCCCTGGGACACACACAAATAAATATACACAAATAAACATATTCCCCATATTTTCCTATATATTTTCTGGGTTTCTGTCTTCCCCACCACTTCCCATATTTTCCCATATTTTCCTAGGAATCGGCGATTAATCGTGTCTGTATGTTTCTTTCCCTCCTGAAAGCTGTTCGCACAGACAACAACCTCACAGCCGGCCTCCGCAAAAGGTGTCGGGCAGCGCCGCGACATGCTGCCGACCCCTGGCGAGATCGGAGGGCGTGCCGCAGCACTCGCTGCACCGAGGCCCTGGCCAGCCCGGGGACCCCTGCGAGCGCCCTCCCCTCCCGCTGGCTCTTGGAACGTCGGCGGCACGGCCACCTTGAGTCTGTCCCCCCCGCCCCCTGAGGGGCAACGATAGGGGGGGACTGACATAGGGGGGATGCATCGACCTGGAATCGGCGATACGTCGCTGATAGATCGGCGATAGGCTCTTGGTAGTGAATCCGCACCTTCCTGGGCAGGTTGGGGCTATCGGGCCCCTATCGGCGATCCATGGGCGATTGCGTGTCGATGTATCCCCTCCTATGCGTCTCCCCCCCTATCGTGTCCCCCCCCCGTCTTCGGTACGGGGGGGCGCTTGCCGGGCTCTCTGGATTGGTCGGGGCCTGCCCCCCCTCGCCTCCCGCCTCCCCTCGTCGTGCCTGCTGCCCTCCCGCTCCTCCTCCTCGCCTCCTCTTGCTCCGCCTCCTCTGCTGCGTCTTTCCGCCTCCTCCTCTGCTCCTGGCCCTCTCGGGTCGTCCCCTTTCTGCGTCTTTCTCCCTCTCCTTCCGGGGAAGCTCCCTTCCTCTTTTGAGCAGGGACCGACCGTTCCGGCATTCGTGTAGTCCTGTCACAAGATGCAAGACAGACTCCACCAAAAATGTTCTAAGAACATTTCGTGGGAGCCACAGAAGATTCTCGGAACAATCTTTGGTAGGGCTATAGGCGAGCCAGGACGCTTCGCCACTGCTTGACTCTCGGGCCGTCCCCTTTCCGTCTTTCTCCCTTTCCTTCCGGGGAAGCTCCCCCCCTCTTGGCTGGTGTGCCACCTCTCCTGCACGGGCTCAGCCCTCGGGGGGCGAGCTGGGCGTGGCCTCGTCAGGCGACGATGCAGCCATCCAGAGTCAGCTTGGGCGACGCAGAGAAAAAGGGCTCTTGCGCGAGATGCTTCCGATGCTTCTGACAATGTGGGGCCAGACGCTCGCCCGAGGGCGCGAAGTCAGGGATCGGTCCTCCTCAGAGGGGAAGCTCGCCCAGACTCGCCGAGGCCTCGTCACGCTGAATCATCGGAGCGAAAGCGAAGGCACCAGGCGGGGAAGGGGGAGGGGGAGGAGGAGGAGGAGGAGGAGGAGGAGGAGGAGGAGGAGGAGGAGTAGGAGGAGGAGGAGGAGCGAGGAGGAGGAGGAGGAGGAGCAGGAGGAGCAGGAAGGGGCAGGAGGGAGGCGGAAGCCTGGAGGGAGGGGAGGGGGAGGAGGCGGAGGAGGTGAGAGGAGGAGGAGGAGGAGGAGAGGAGGAGGAGGAGGAGGAGGAGGAGGAGGAGGAGGAGCAGGAGCAGGAGGAAGCAGGAGGGAGCCAGGAGCGAAGGTCAGATGAAGTGGAGGGGGATGGGAGGGGGAGGAGGAGGGAGGAGGGGAGAGGAGGAGGAGGGAGGAAGGAGGAGGAGAGGAGGAGGAGGAGGGGAGGAGGAGGAGGGCGGAGGAAGGAGGAGGCGGAGGAGGAGTAGGAGAGGAGGAGGAGGAGGAGGAGGAGGCGGAGGAGGAGGAGGAGGAGGAGGAGGAGGAGGAGGAGGAGGAGGCGGAGAGGAGAGGAGGAGGAGAGGGGAGGAGGCCGAGGAGGAGGCGAGCGGCCCTCACCCGAGATGGCAGAGCGACCTGGCGCGACAACGTACGCGGGCCACCCGCGAAGCACGCCGCATTGGCGGCGGGGGCGCGCGAGAGTTGGTGAATACGGCCCTGTCCTTGTGCCTCGCTGGGGTGTCACGAGGAGGAGGAGGAGGAGGAGGAGGAGGAGGAGGAGGAGGAGGAGGAGGAGGAGGAGGAGGACAAATGACAAGGAGGAGGAGGAGGAGGAGGAGGAGGAGGACGTACGAGGATGGCGGAGGATCAAGGGACAAGAGGGAGGGAGGAGGAGGAGGAGGAGAGGACAAGGACGAGAAGGAGGAAGAGGAGGATGAGAGGAGGAGGAGGAGGAAGAGGAGGCTAATAGCAGGCGAGAGGAGGAGGAGGAGGAGAAGGAGGAGGAGGGAGGAGGAGGCGACCGAGGAGGAGGAGGCCGGAGGAGGAGGAGGATGGAGGGAGGAGGAGGACAAATGACAAGGAGGAGGAGGAGGACGACGAGAGGCGGAGGATCAAGGACAAGAAGGAGGAGGAGGAGGAGGAGGAGGAAGAGGAACAAGACGAGAGGAGGAAGGGAGGAAGGAGGAGGAGGAGGAGGAGTGGGAGGAGGCGGAGGAGGATGGAGGAAGAAGAGGAGGATAAGCAAGAGAAGGAGGGAGGAGAGGAGGAGGAGGAGGAGGAGGGGAGAGAGTGATGGAGGCGACCGGAGGAGGAGAGGAGGAGGAGGAAGGAGGAGGAGGAAAATGACAAGGAGGTTTAGGAGGAGGGGGAGGTGGGGGGAGGGGACTAGGGAGGAGGGGGAGGGAGGGAGGGGGGAACGGAGGGGGGGGGGAGGGGGGGGGGGGTGGGAGGGGGCGGGGACGGAAGGGGGGAGGGGAGAGGCTAGCAGAGGGAGGCGGGAAGGAGGAGGACGACGAGGAGGCGGAGGATCAAGGACTAGAAGGAGGAGAGGAGGAGGAGGAGGAGGAGGAGGAGGAGGAGGAACAAGGACGAGGGACGAGGAGAGAAGGAGGAGGAGGAGGAGGAGGAGGAAGAGGAGGATAAGCAAGGCGGAGGAGGAGGAGGAGGAGGAGGAGGAGGAGGAGGAGGAGGAGGAGGCGACCGAGGAGAAGGAGGAGGAGGAGGAGGAGGAGGACGAGGAACAAGGACAAGGAGAACAGGGAGGAGGAGGAGGAGGAGGAGGAGGAGAGGGAGGAGGCCGAGGAGGAGCTCCTGCGCCGCGCCGCCCTCGCGCGCCCCGGGGCCCTCGCCGTACTCCCGCGCCGCCGCCTCGCCCCCGACCGCGCGCACGGGCTGCACCGTGACGGTCTCGCCGCCCTCGCCGCGGCGGTCCTCGGACAGTTTTTCTCAACAAAATTCAAGACGCTCTTTTTCTCGAAACAAAAACAACTAAACAAAAACAATCGGACCCAGGCCAGAAGAGCGTCCCTCAAGAACATGCGACCCTCCGTCGGCCCAGACAAACAGGACATCCAAGGGCAGCCTCCCGAAGATGCACGAGAGCATCCAGCAAGCACAGAGAGCACTAGTGTGCCCTCCCCGCGCCGACCTCGATCATGTACCTTTGTTGTGTTTTTGTTCGATGTGCCGTTTCAGCGCGTTTTGCATTGTTTGATTGTTGGTCTGGTGATTTGCACTGCATGCCATGTGTAAAGGTAGTTGTCTGGTCCTGTTGCTGGTGTCCTTCGTCCCCCGCTTTTGCTTTCGGCTGTTGTGCTGTTGGAGTTTCGTGTTGCTTCTGTGCTCATCTCCTGGAGGGGAAGAAGCCGCGGCCTGGCACGGTGAGGTGCAGCTCGACCCGACCCGGTGGGACGTCTGACTCGGGTAGGCGAGCAAAATGATGGGGCCCAAGGAAACAACAAATAGACACAGATCTCAGGATCCCCAAGATTTTTCCCCAATCAGTGCTTGCACTGAAGGGGTCCTCGTGGAAGTTGAAGGATTTGGCGAAAAGTCCCCGCCGATGTTGGTTGCAAGCTGGGTTCCCGGGTTCCCGGGTTCCGGGTTCCCGGGTTCCCGGGTTCCCGGTTCCGGGTTCCGGGCCGACTTCGAAGGGCGGCGAGGTTCCCGGGTTCCCGGGTTCCTGGTCGATCTTCTTATCGATCGGTCTCACCATCGATCTCATTACCGACTTCTCGATCGATCTCACCATCGATCTCACAATCAATCACTATCAATCTCAAAAACGATCTCACTAGAGATCGCATGAGCGATCTCGCGATCGATCTCACTATCGATATCATTGAATCGATTTCACTCTCGGTCTCACGATCGACCTTACAATCGTCCTCACTATCGATTCCACTATCGATCTCATTATCGATCTCACAATCGATCTCAAGATCCATAGTATCAATGTTCAAATGATCCAATGATCGGGTTTTCTCAGGGGTAATTCAATATTTTCTGGACTGTCGTGCAACCTTGCAAGGACGTCTCAGGCCAAACGGTCAGAGCCAGGGACTCCGAGGATGTCTCAGGAACGAGCCTGAGTATCTCGCGAACCACATCTTGGAACCCAGAATGGTGAGAACGTCTCAAGCGAAGCGTACCAGAACACCTCAATTCAG